GTCAAGGTAATACAATCAGTTGGGAGGTGTTCCCTCTTCTCTTTTCTGTAGGATATTATGTAGAATTGGTGCTAATTCTTCTTTAAACAACTAATATAATTCTTTAGTGAGGTCATCTGGGCTTAAAGTTTTCATTTCAGATTTTTAAATTATGAATTTGATTTCTTTCATAATTATATAGTCATTCAGATTATTTCATATTGGGTAAATTTTGGCAGTTTGTGCTTTTATAATGATTGGTCCATTTCGTCTGTTTTCCGATTTGTATGTGTATACATAGTAGTAGTCCCTTATTATCCTTTTCATGTCTGCAGTCTATAGTAGTATCTCCCTTTCATTCAGAGTATTGATAATTTGCATCTTCCCTTTTTCCTTTGTCAGTCTTGCTAGAGATTTGTACATTTTATTAATTTTATTAAAGAACTAGATTTGTATTGGGTTTCTCTATTATTTTTCTCTCCTTAATATTATTATGTTTATTGATACAAATATTTGTACATCTTTATGCAGTACATATGATATTGTGTTAAATGCGTAGACTGTGAAAGTATCAAGTTAGGGTACTTGGGGTGTCCATTGTCGCTAATATTTATCATTTCTATGTGTTGGGAACATTGCAAGTCCTCTCTTCTAGCTATTTTGAAATATGCAATACATTGTTGTTAGCTATAGTCACCATATACTCTGCTATCAAACTGCTTTCAGTATTACTGATTTTGATTATTATTTTCTTCCTTCTGCTTGCTTTGGGTTTATTTTATTCTTATTCTTGTAGGTTCCTTAAGTGGGAGCTTAGATTATTAATTTTAGATTTTCCTTCATTTCTAACACAAAAATTTAGTTTTATACATTATCATCTCAGCACAGCTTTACCTGTGTCCCACAAATTTTGATACATTGTATTTTCACTTTCATTCAGTTCAGTGTAGTTTTTATTTCTTTTAAGACCTCATTAACCCATGAATTTGTTTTAAAGCATGCTTTTTAATTTCTAAGTGTTTGTAGATTTTCATGTTGTCTCTCTGTTACTGTTTTCCAATTTGATCCCATCATAAAGAAAACATCATTTATTATTTGAATTCTTTTAATATTTTGCAGATTGTTTTATGACTGAAAATATGTCTATATTGGTATGTATTTCTTGGGTGTTTGAAGTAACGTAAATTATATTATTTTCAGGTGGAACAATCTATACGTTTTATTTAGGCCTTATTGAAACCTGTCACTGGGCTCTTCTACATCTTGCTGATTTTCTCTGTAGTTGTTCTATCAGTTGTTGAGAGAGGGTGTTGAAGTCCCCAACTATAAATGTGAATTTTTCTATTTCTCCATTCAGTTCTAAAAACGTTTGCTTCCTATATTTGCAGGTCTTCTGTTTAAAGCATACACATTTAGGAGTACTATGTCTTATTGGTGGATTGACACTTTCAGCATTATGTAATGTCCCTATCTGTCCCTGGTATTTTATTTTACTATTATTTTTTTGCTCTGAAGTCTGCTTTATCTGATATCGCTAGATCCACCTCTGTTACTTTTTAAAATTAGTATTTGCATGGTGTATTTTTTTCCATCATTTTACTTTCAGCTTTTCTTTTTTTTTTTTTTTTTTTTTTTTTTTTTTGAGATGGAGTCTCACTCTGTCGCCCAGGCTGGAGTGCAGTGGCCGGATCTCAGCTTACTGCAAGCTCCGCCTCCCGGGTTCACGCCATTCTCCTGCCTCAGCCTCCCGAGTAGCTGGGACTACAGGCGCCCGCCACCTCGCCCGGCTAGTTTTTTGTATTTTTTTAGTAGAGACGGGGTTTCACCGTGTTAGCCAGGATGGTCTCGATCTCCTGACCTCGTGATCTGCCCGTCTCGGCCTCCCAAAGTGCTGGGATTACAGGCGTGAGCCACCGCGCCCGGCCTACTTTCAGCCTTCCTAAATCATTATACCTGAGGTGAGCATCTTGCAACAGCATATCATTGGATCATGTTATCTTCTTTGCCAATTTCTGTCTTTTAATTGGTATGTTTAGACCATTTCCATTTATTGTATTTATTGATAAATTAGTGCTTAGTTCTGCCAATTTATTTTTGTTTTCTGTTTGTTCTCTGATTTTTTGTTTTTCTATTTTCTTTTTTCTGACTTCCTGTGGGTTACTTGAACAATGTTTAGAATTCCATTTGTTTCGTATATAGCATTTTTGAATCTATCTTTTTGTATAGTATTTTAAGGGATCACTCTAGGTATTACATTATATATATGCCTAACTTATAATAATCTACTGGTGTCAACATTTTGCCAGTTTCAGTGTAGAAACCCTACCTCTCCTTTCGCCCCTTTACTCTCCTCTATTTATAATATAATTGTGTTAAATGTTCCTTCCACATACACTTACAGACACATCAGACAATGTTATAATTCATGCTTTAACCTTCAAACATAATTTGGAAAACTCAAGAGGAGAAGGAAAGTCCATTACATTTACCCATAATTTTTTCTCTTTCCATTGGTCTTTATTCCTTTCTAATGTTTAATATTCTTTCTTTTATCATTCCTTTTCTGCTTAGAGAATTTTCTTTAGATATTCTCTTAGTAGAGGCATGTTGTTGACTAATTTTGTTAGTGTCTCTTGATCTGAGAATGTCTTGATCTCCCTTTCATGTCTGAAGTGTATCTTCACTGAGTATAGGGTTCTGGGTTGACAGTTCTCTTTATTCAGCACTTGAAAAATATTATGCTACTTCCTTCTGGAATCCATGGTTTATGACCAAAATTTCACTCTCATTCAAATTATTTTTCTTCTATAGGTAAGGTATCATTTCTCTTTCACTGCATTCAAGGCTTTTCTCTTCATGTTTCAGAAATTTCGTTATTACAGGTCTTGGAGTGGATTTCTTTATATTTATACTGTTTGAGGTTCACTCAGCTTCTTTAATTTCCAGATTTATGTCTTTTGTCAAATTTGGGGAGTTTTCAGCAATTATTTCTTTGAATAGTTTTTTTTTTTTTTTGGTCTCATTCTCTTTCTCATCTCCTTCTGGAATTCCAGTGACATGAAAGTTAGATCTTTTGTTTGTAATCCTACATGTCCTTGAGTCTATGTTTATTTTTTTTCCAGGATATCTTCTCTGTGTTGTTCAGATTGGTCATTTCTATTGTTCTATCTTAATTCCTTCCTCTGTTCTTACCATTCTCTTCTTAATTCGATTCACTGAATTTATTTCCATTATTGTATTTTTCATTTCTAAAATTTCCATTTGGTTCTTTTTTATATGTTCTATTTCTCTGCTAAGAATTCTGATTACTTTGCTGAGACTTTCTGTATTTTTTTCATTTGCTTCCAAGCATGGTTGTAATTGTTGGTTGAAGCACTTTAATGATTACTGCTTTAAAATCCTTGTCAGGCAATTCTGACGTCTGTGTCATCTTACTGTTGGCATCTGTCGATAATATTTTCCATTCTGTTTGATATCTTACTGGTTCTTGGTATGACAAGTGCTTTGCTACTGAAACTTGGGCAGTTTGGATATTGCATTATAAGACTGGATCTTATTTAAATTCTCTGTTTTAGCTGACTTCCCCTGACACTGCTCTGGCAGGGAAGGGGGGCACCATCTTATTCTTCATTGACATCAGGGAGGGTGGAGCTCCTCATTACTGCTGGGCAGTGGTGAGAATTCCAACTCCCCACTAGGCTTTTTCTGATACTACTCTAGTGGGGATAGGGAAGGGCACCTCATTACTGCTATGTGGGTGTGGAGTCTAGGCTCCTCATTTGGCTTTTGTTGATGGAATATAATGGGACTGCATTTTCTTCTATGGTGTTTGGCTGGAGTAGAGCAGTCATTGTCTAAAAGTTTTCTATCTTGCTAGGCTACCTCTTTCCTGGTCTTTTGGCTAGAAAGAACAGGCTTTTGTTGGGGCTTCTTTGTTAGTGCCCAATGGCATTCTGGGTTTCTGGCTTCTTCAGCTCCAAGTCTGGTATATATGAGGCAAAAACAAAATTCAGAGAACTCGCCACTGCATCATTGCTCAGGTCCCAAGGTCCCTAACCAGTATACTTTTTTCTTTCCACCTTTTAATGTCTTATTTTGTTTGTTTTATATATAACGTCCAGAGGTTTTAGTGATACTCAGTGAGAGAATGGGGAAAAGTACTTCTCCATCTTTCCAGAGGCAGAGGTTTGGACATTGAGATTTTACAGCCTGATGCTGTACTGCCAACATGGCAGTTTATGGGAAGGTTTATGGGAAGTAGAGCTGTCCTTATATATTAATGTCTTAGTGGAGCTCTTATTTCATGTTTACATCATGAAAAACAAAAAGAAATGAAACTTTACCTGGGTTTGCATATGTCTGCTTATCCGTCATGGAGAAGCAGCCATGATCATAGCCTGCTCAGTCAGTTTCGTGTAAATCAGTGCACCAGGGTTTCATGAGCACCTTTCAATATCCATTGTTCCCTTCCTGTATCTGTCAGGCTTTGAACTGTTAGCTCACTTGGCTGTATCCTAACAGTGCCACAGTTGGTGGCTGCTGCTTCTATGAACCATAAGACTTACTCTAGTGGAACTGAAGAGGCCCTAAGCCATCACTTAATTTAGCCACCATGTTTTGATATAAAGAAATTGCATCTCATAGAACAGAGGAAGCTTTCCCTGGATCCCACTGCATATCACACAAAAGCAAATCCAGACCTAGGACCCAGATACCATGCCTGTAGGCCCAGTGTTGTTTTAGTCACATGAAGCTGCTCTTCCATCCACTCCTCTGCCTTCCAGTGAACTTTGTTCTTTCCTCTGGTCAAGGGCTGTCATTTTATCCCAGCCAACTGTCTCACAGAAATGCCTCTCATCCTTGGGGGTTGGGGTGCTCAATGAGGGTGGTGGGTGGGAAGAAGGGAAAAGGAATGTGGCTGACTCCACACAAACCTGTCTTCAGAGTGAAAGTCTGTGATTCACGGGGTCAATGGTCTCATCTTCATATCTGAAAGACAGTGTACTTTTTGTCTCCCTAAGCCCTGTGTCTAGGTCGTTTGGGAAACGCCTTGGAGAGTCAAGAATAAAATTGCAGGTCAAACAATGGATGACTGGAAAAGTCGGCTTGTAATCAAGAGCATGCTTCCCCATTTCGCCATGGTGGGAAATCGTCAGGAGCCCAGAAAGCTCCAGGAATCGGTCAGACAATGGGCCATGGGGGGAGGGGGGTGTTGAATGCTTCTAATCTTAAACTTGAACGTAAGATGTGTTATTGAAATTTTCTGTGCAAACTTGGTGGCAGGGGTCCAACTCAAAATATAAAGAACTCAAATGTGATCTAGAAGAGATCTAGGAGATGAGCTGATCCCACCCCTTGTGGGTTTCTAGAAGAGCTGGAAATACAGTCTAAGGCTCCATATGGACTCCCAGTCTAGTACTCATTGCACTCATTCAATAAGAAAAATGAGGAAGGCTGAGGAGAGGGAAGACGAGGTTACTTTTTCTCTTAATAGAAGCCAGTCAGAATGGCAAGCACTAGATATATCGCACGAGCTTCCTAGTATGACTGAGAACAAAAAGCTAGTGAGTAGGGCACAGAGAGGGCTTCCCGTTCAACTTTCTGGCCCTGTTGTCCTTTTAAAAATTCATCTGACACACTTCTACTTTCCTCTCTGGGAACTCAGATATCATCCAAGTGTTCTGAAACTCAGGATTAGGGATTCTAGTGGTAGTTCTAGGAGCAGGAAGATGATAGAAGGGACTATGAGAGCCATTGACTAGTTTAATTTGACAATAAAAGCCGGCAACACCACCAATCTACCAAGATTAGCTCTGTTAGCAGGAATTGCAGCAAACACAATAGCTATTATCTCAGGGTATTAGGGCCACAGAGGAGTGGCTTGCTTAATCTCTGAAATTAATAGAGCAGAGAGGAAATGGCTCTTACAGAGCCGTGGGTCGGCTTCCTTCCTTTTCATAGAACTGGAAGCCCTGGGCTCTGAGGTAATGCCATTTCACATAACTAGAGGGCCTGTCTTCTCCAATTCCCAGGGCAATCCACTTTCAGCAAGTCAGCTTTCTATTTATTTTAGAATTGTGATATGTGCACAGATGTGGAAGGAGGCGATTGAAATCTTGTTTTCTCTTTGTTTCCTCATTGTCAACCACCAACAGTGTATTGAGAATGTGCTATCAAGTTGAGCATGTAGACATTTACAAAACTGTTTACTGCAGTCACCAGTTCTCACAGAGATTGCAATCAGGTGGGATGGCAGAGATAGAGACATTACTTGACCAGCAGACTGTCCGAATTTCCAGGCCTTAGGCCTCTTCTAGAAAGAAATCTCTAACCTCCATTCTAATTACCCTTTATATTTCATGCTTCTCTCTTATGATCAACAATTGAGTCAGTAAAGAAAAACCTAACAATGCTCCCAGAGTCCATGATCAGTTTTAGCATGACTTTAAATTTCTCTTTTGTTTCCCACTTGTTTCCATTCACTTGAGCCAAACTGTAGGAGAAAAGGTTGATGGACTGTGGATGCAGGGGTCCTCTTCCCCTTCTCCCCAACTCCTCCAACACTCTTAAAAAGTGTGACCAGTAAGTAACTGCTTTGGTTTTGATCAGTGCACAGTTGAATGCACAGATTCCAGTGGGGGCTGTCCTTAGAATAGGTCCTTGGAGTGGCCATCTGTGCGTTTACTCTGGAGAAGTTGTCATTGCTTACCTCATTTCCGGGCTTGGCTTCTCTTTGCAGATGGCCTTTAGAGCCCTTTGTAAACTTTGCCAAAAATTCACATTCATTACTCTAGAGTCACACTTTGGACTTGATCAAGATCAGCCCTCTGCCTCCTCTATGCCACACCTCATTCTCTGAAAGAGTTCCCTGTTGGGTTCTGAGTGGCTTGACTCTTTCTAAAACCTCAAGCTGTCCTAGACCAAGAATTCACCCCAGTTGAGGAGATCAAAGAATTTTAAAAATTTGTCTTAGGCTCCAAAAGCAACTCTCTCAGATGGTCTTCTTCACAGTTAAAACAGCATTGGATGACACTGAGAGAGCCCACTCCTTTGACTGGACATGACAGGTGCTGCTGTACGGTATCCTTGTAGTCTCAGAAAGGTACCCAGTGCTAATATGAAACTGCTGCACACACTGAGGATCTCAGCATCTGGGTGCTTGTGGACTGAGGTTAACCAAATAAAAGCAGAATGGCCTGTGAGTCCACCAAGAAACCTGCTGTCCAAACAAGTTACTATAAGGCCTGGAAGGTGAATGGCCGAAGCAGGTCCTTTGCAAGAGCTGGGCTTGCATTTCCAGGGTGTAGCCTTAGCTGGATCTCAGATGTTTCCTTTGTTTGTTCTCCTTCTGACACTTCATAACAGCCAGGGATGACACCCTGAACCCTAGTCCCAGGAAACCCTGTGCATCTGGAAGCATATTTCTTGCACCACTCTCCCTCATCCTGAAAGCATCACTAAGAGAGATTTGCTTCAGGCATTCAGCTTGACTGGTTCTCTTGTTCTTTCCCAGAAAACAAACAAACAAACAAAAAACATGTTTCAAATCAATCTTAAAATAAACTGATACCAGTCCCAGAGGAGAGTTCTCTTTAAGCAGTCCTTGAATTTACATGGAAATAATTGTGAGCTCCCTTGAAGGAAAACGCGCATCTCACGTAACAGTTGTTCTTGGCCTAAGACTAGGGCTCAGAACACCAGGGTTTTAGTCTTGCAGTTACTCCTCACTAGCTATGAGGCTTTGTTCATCCTTTGCCCTCCCTGAGAACAAAGTTCAAATGAACCAAAAGTAAGAATAACCACCTTTAATTCGGCATTGACTAGGTGCTAGGCACTTTACTAAGCATTCGTGGGGCATTATCTCCTGTAATCCTCATGATAACGCTGGGAAGAAGAAGCTATTATCATCTCCAGGAGACCGAGACTCAGAGAGGTTAAGCAATTTGACCAAAGTCACAGATAGAAGAAAGTGACAAACTCAGAGACCAGTGTCATCACCACTATACTCTAATGCATATTGAAAACTACAAAACGCTGAATACATATCAGGCAGGGGCCATCACCATAAGAAATCTCAGTAACGCAAGTACCTTTTCAGCGTCTGTTCATTCATTTAATAGTGTGACTGCTTAATGACTCTGGCGATCTGGGGAACAGAAGAGTTTGACTTTTTGAACATTTGAGACTCAGTGTGCATGTCACATGCCATCTCTGTCTCAGTCTACACCTCACCGAAAGTGGCAGTTTCCTCCAGCTCGGAGCAGGCACCTATTCCCTTCATAAGGCAGCTCCTAGGCAAAACGGGGGTGTGAAGGACATGAAATGTTCAGTTGGAGGAGGAAGCGGACACAGTGCTCTTTGCACATCTTCTGTGTTCAGCCATTTAATGTTAAGAAGCGATTCACTCTACAGACTACAATGGGATGCCGTGCCCAGTATTTCTTCTGAGCTTCCCAACCAGTCAGTGGTTGGGCAGGGTTGGGGGATTATTATTATTCTCCTTCTTTATGGATAAAGAGAATAAAGTGCGAGAAATTCAGTGACTTTCAGAAGGATGGCCATCCAGAAGGTGGGGCGCTACGTCAAGGGTCCTCATTTGGATGGCTCCAAGTGCAGTGTGCTTTCAGTCTACAATATGGCGAAAAACAACCCCTCAGCCCACATCTTTCTCACCTCTAAATGCAAGTGGGGCTGAAGAAGGGGGAGAGAGGAGCCCTTAGTGTAACAGGGTATGTGGACATTTGGATGGCTACAAAAGCACTGGCCCCATTCTGTCGGTCATTTTTCTTTAGACCGGTGACCTTAGGCATACCCAGTAGGAGGAGCTCTAGTCACCTCCTCCCTTGGTGTGTATGTGATGGGGTTCAAGATTTGTGCCCATCAGCTTTGGAGGCATATACTTCTTGCAAAAAAAAAAGTGCTGGACTCAGGAAGGAGACCTCAGACTTGATCCAGGGTTGGAGCAAGCTCTTTGTGAGACTTTGAGCAGGTTTCTTTCTTCTTGAGGTCAGAGGGCATAGGTATGAGCTCTAAGGGCTTGTTTATCTCTGGCCTCCTGCTACGTTTCCAGGGTCCCTTCTCTGTGCCCAGCCCTGTGCTAGATCTTGAGCCCCAGGAATTCATAGTCTAGGGGCAAATTATTCCCAGGCTTCCTCCACTGGGAACAAATCTATCTTACTCTGTAGTTCTTGGTGAAACCTGGAGGCAAGTGATTGAGCGTCTCTCTTGTGCAAGGTACTTTGTGCACATTAGCTCATTTGCTTCTGTGTCACAGAGATTGATATTTCCACTTCCCCAGGGTGGAGACTGAGACTCAGAAAGGATGGAGACTTTCCCAATGTCACACAGGCAGGAAGTTGTAAATTCAGATCTCAAACTCAGGTGCCCTGCCTCCAAAGCTCTTCCTACCCTGATGCTTTCCCCTCCCAGATTAGAAGCTCAGGTATCTCCGGGCCTTCTGCAGGCCAGGCACTGTTCTCATTGCCTTTCATTCCAGTGGCAGAGACAGCCCATAAACAGGTAAAGAGTAGAAGCACATTTACTTCATTCTGGTAGCTCTCTGGGACCTTCTGACTGACCAGCATTGTCCACTGCCAAGCCTGGCAGAAAGCTAGGCTGCTTTAAAACCCCATGCAGGGGCAGTCAGCTGGGAACAGAGTGAGTTGTCGAAACAGCTCCCTTAGAAGCCTCAAGGGAAAACCCAGATTCAGAGGTTTGAGTCTTTGCCAGCATCCCCTACTTCGTGCAGGCTGAAGGCACAGCACAGGTGCAAATCTGGCCCCAAGAGAGGGGAGCTCATGTGTATGGGCCCCCTTCCAAGACCCAGGTGATCTCAGGGGTCAGTTAATCTAGAGGCAACTGTCCCTGCCATTTACTGAGAACTTGCATGAGCCTCTGGGCCTCAATCTGCACATCAGTAAAGTAGGGTTAATAACTCTGCTCTTTGCCTGCGTCAGGGTTTCTGGGATGGTGATGAACAAGGTATGGTTGTGCATGTGTTCCAAACCACACAGGGCATGGTCCTAAACCACACACTGCCGTGAGCACGTTTTTTTTTTAATGATCAGAGGTTGGCATTGGCTCAGAGGATTTTTGCCATCAGAAGGGTAATGGGAAATGTGTGTCCTGACCCCTGAGGATCCCACAGTCTCATCAGCAGCTCCACTGCACTGAGGAGACC